GGAACGTCGCGGGTTGAAGGTCCGGATGGGTGCGCGGCGCAGAGGCGTGGTCTCATCGACGGCGTCATCATCGTCCACGGCGACGCTATTGCGACCGTTGTGGAGGTCATCGTCCTCCTCGAATTCGAGAGTCTCCTCCAAAAAGAAAGCACCCTGCAAGACGGCCAGGGAGATTGCTGCCATGGACACGAGATTCGGAAGCAAGTAGGGATTCCGGCCGAAAATACCATCCTCAGAGAAGACCGAAGGGTAGTAGACGGCAGGTTGGGCGAGGAAACCGCCCATGGCAGAGCCAATAATGCCGCCCAGTGTCCATACGAACGGTTGGACGGCGTAGGCCTTGGCTGTTTCCCCAACAAAAAAAATCAGTACGCTGTCGTTCGCCGCAATTTGCGCCGATAATTACACCGGCATAGAGAGAGAGAGAAATAGGGAGACTCACGCTCATGGTCGGGATTTTTGACCATTTCTGCCACCATGGTCTGCATGACGGAAACGTTGCCGTTGAGAGCGCCACCAACAAAACGGGCGAGTAGGGCAACCCAATACGTCTTTGCGAAACCAAAAATCAGACTCGAGATGGCGACACCGACGAGACCAAATAGCACGACTGGTTTGCGACCAATGCGATCGGACAGGGTTCCCCATCCCATTGAGGTGATGGCCTCGGCGACGGCGTAGGCGGAGATCAAAAGACCTGCGTAGAAACCGGCGTCTTCCTCCATGCCGAGATCCTTGACCATCTTATAGGTGTAGGCCAAGATAGAATTGAAGGCGATGGGCTCGGAGAATCGACATATCGCTATATGTTTGTGACGCGCGCGTTAGCCCACAGTCGCAGTGTGTTCCATTGAATGGCACTGGACAGCGCTGATAAGAAGAAGAGATTCCTTATCTGAGTTTGTCGAGAATGAGACGGAGGGGAAAGTTGGAAGAGAGAGGATGGGGATGGGCGTACCGAGAACGGCCAGTTGGCGCGTAGGAAATGCTTTGGGGTCTTTTCGTTTTGATGGAGCCATGGTGTGGTATCGTAGGTATCGTGAGAGTCTCCTTTGTCTAGATGTCTTGGTGTTTCTCCTACACTTCTCAGAGGTTGGAATGTTGGAGAGAGTAAGGTACGCAGAGTAAGGTTATGGGAGGAAAAGAAGAAAGAGGATCGGGATGACGATTTTGGCACCATGTAAATTACTGCGGGGTCGTGGAGAGAGGTTGGGGCCTTCCTTGGGGGGGGCCCTTGGCCTTTGCAAGCTCGGGGGGCAGCTCAAGCCGCAAATCGCAGGGCAATGGGGAAGTAATGGCCTGGGGAGTGATAAATGGGGGGCAATGGAGGCAATAGGGGAGGCTTGGGAAAGGCAAGTAATTCCCGTCCGCTACTCGGTACATAATACGCAGTAACGCAGGCAGGTGAAGGGCAGTAGTGACTTGCCTTAGCAGCAGCAACTGCAGCAAGCACAGCGGGCAAGAAATAACGGCATTGGCGGCCCGCGACACCGCCCCACCAAAACGCATGCACCTCACCGCCTGACCGGTTCATGATCGGCGCTTGACCGTTGGCCACACACGTGCAAGCAGCAAGAAGCATCTCATCATCCTTACAGTAACAAGATCCTAACACACGCAGTACGAATACTTATCCCCTTCTTTGCCTCCCCACGTTCATCATCCCGATATCCATGCATGAGGTGTCGTCATGTTGGTGAAGCCTTGGAGATCCATCCGGCACGGCCACGTACAGTTAGTTGTCCTCAGTGGATAGGTATTTATTGTCCAAACCTCAGAACTTGGGGTAAGTAAACATTGAGTTTCCTTTGAGACCCCCGAACCAGAGAGCAAGACATGGCGGATTCGGAACTTAATCTGGGGAACTTGACTCAGGTCAGTGCACTCCGTAGTCTTATCCGTAGTGTAACCGTCGCACTTGGCGGTTATTGAAATACCTGCCGCTGCCGCCGCCCGCTTGAGGTGAGGTCATGCACCGTGATACCTACACCTACTTTGCTCCTGTACGTAGCGACACCACAGTTGATGATCTCATCCTGCAATTCGAATTCGCCCCCATTTCGAGCACCCATACATCATAACACAGCTCGCCTCAGTCGCCTCCAACCCCCCCAATAGGTAGCAAAACCAATTGACCGACTTGATGTTAGCGCAAGCTCCTTTTCCCTTAGCTGACATGGACTAGCAATGAGGCTCGTCTCACGACAAAAGTAGTGCGACGCTCGGGACTGTCCTTTTTTTTTTGTCCTGCTCGAATCCGGCCTACCTTGGACAACGACAGGCCGGTCACCCACGGTAGATAGTAAAGCAAACAAGCCTCAAATTCGAGTCTGCAATTGTGCCACTTTTCTTCTGTGTAAATTTCCGGAGCCGAACCTCCTGCCGTTTGGGGTCTACCTTACCTTCCAACATGCTTAGGTTGACTGCCCGCACCTTGGAGCCTCCTTCTTGGACCTGCCAATTTGGAGGAGTTGGAGATCTCAGAACTGGCGGTGTGCTCACAATCTCACTAACTCCCCATCCCACAGGCAATCTCAATCTACCTTGACTCCAAATTTAGCTTCCGAGCAATTGACCGCGCTAAATCTCAATCCAACTTACCTTAGACAGCTTAGGTCTGACATCGTCATGTTCTTAGACACCCTCCCCTGAAATCAACGCCATCATCTACCCAGTACTTAGTGCTCAGAATTCATTCAGCCAAGCGCGACGCGCCTTTTCTCCCCTCCAGCCAAATATTTTCCATATCAAAAGTGCTTACACCCCCGAAGCCGATTTAAGCCTGAGACACCACCGAGTCGTTTTCCCTGTTCTCTAGCAAACTGCCACAAGTTCTTTTGAGCTCATCACGACGCAGCCTTCACGAGTTGACGCGGTTTCCCAAATGACAATGCTTCATACTCGCCACCGACGATGTGAAAGCCACAGGCTTTCCGGGCCTGGGAAGCTCATGCCTCGCCTTCCATAGCGATTCAGATTACCCATCAACAAGTAAAGCCAGTGTATTTATGCGCGCTCTCTTGAGAGACGCAAGAGTCACCTCATTAGTATCTGTGTTCATCGCACATGAATTCATTTCCCAGCCCAGTGTTTCACCGCTGATCACGTTGCAGCATAGTATACAACATTCTGTCCTTCCAAGCGACCTAAATGAGAAGGCCAGCGTCATTGCTAGCTGTGAATGGGCCTTCAGGCTCATTCATATGTCCGCGACTTGATTGGCTTTCAAGTTCCATCGTCTGTGTTCTTTGGAACTCGTAGACTGGGACACGACTCTAGGCTGGACGCGGACCCGAGAACAAGGAGTGTGGAATTCAATGAGTAAGCGATCAAGATATATGTCAAGGTCTCATTACTCTCCCAAGTCTGCCTTTATCGTCGTGGCTGTTTTCCCATTACCTGACATTAGATGAACACATCGAAGCACCGAAGCAGGTAAACAGGTAAGCAACCTCCCGCGTGCTCCCGCCCAAAGGCCATACATACTTGGGGCGCCATCAGGAAACAGACCCTAGGGCCCCCTTCTTGAGCCTCAAGAAGAATATAGCCTCGCATCGCGTTAAGAAGAGTATGTACCAAAAGATACGAATGGAGCCCGGATCGTTCCAGGCATGATTCCCTTGAGTCAACACAGCGAGTATCTGGTAACTATTGTTCAAGCACTGATTCCTACATATCTTCTGCGGTTTTTGCCAAAGACTAGACAAGGGTGCTGCCCCGATCTTGAACGGTTTAAAGGTTTGCGTCGATGGATGGATATTCTGAGCCGTTATCTGGACCTAGAATGGTTCGTCCCCAGTGAACCCCTCGACGGCGGACGCGCGCCGCTAGGCAGGGGCCCAGGGTGTTGGTGGGACAGATGGATAACGCGGGGAAGCAAGGGTTTGGGACGTTGACGGTGACTCTTCAAAACCCCAGGCAAATCCATTCAAGAGCTTGGAAGGATTCTCGTCTATATTGGAGTGTGCTATCCTAGACTTCACCTTGAAGCTTGAGAGGATAAAGAGGATCTAGTTTTAGTGGAACAGATGTTGAAATGATTCTCGAATCCCTTCAGTTCCAAGCAATGAAGAGTCGCAATTTCATGGACTCGTCTCGATGATAAGCTTGGCTCTTCGTCGAACGTAGATGTGTAACATGAGAGTCCCATCGCCTACTCTACGGTCCCTGCTTTATTACCTGTCTCTATCCTTCGTCACCAAGTGATGGGTCCCCTTACTCCTTTGGTACATTTGACCTTACCAACGCCCAATCCCTACATCGACTGCGTCGTTACACTGTCTTTCGGAAAGCGTTTACCTGCCGGTGTAATCAAGACGCAACTACTCTATTGAAGCAATGTCTAGATGCACACGTCTTACCCAAACCTTGCTCCCCGCTGTGCCCTTGTTGAGGGAGTTCATGAGCACAAAAGCCGGTATAACAATGGCCGACCTAGCACAAACCTTGCCGCTTCCAAACCACGACCAAACATCCTCCATGGTCTATTACCTGTGACCAGAGCCTTCTCTTGTCGCCAAAGAAAGACTTGAGGCTTCGCTGCATGGTTGGGATTTGAGTCACTCGACTCTCTGTCACCTCGGATTCCGAACTCTATCGTACTCAGTCCAATGTTGTGCAGGGATTTCCCAATGTTTGTGTCCTCGAACTACTTTTCACTACCGTCTGTATCCCCATGGAAAAGGGAGAAAAGATTAGCAAGTCTCTTGTGTTCTGTTCGAGAGAACCAAGAAACCTCACTGGTACTTGTAAGGGCGTCTGCCGAGTTTAGGTTGCTGCCAAAGTCCAGAACAGAACTCATCAACACCAAAGATTGTGAACCCACGAAAGTATCTCTTGATGAAGACCTTTGATTATGGTGAAGACACCGGGATCCAAAGACTCTGACTATGAAGCCGAGTTGTGAATGCTCATCTAAAAGTACAATAATCAGATCTAGCTCTATTGCTTTCCTCCCATTCATTGCAGTTCACATCCAAGCGAGCACACAATCAACAGATATGAGAATCGCAACGAGTCTGAAACTCAACCGATTAGAGCCCGACGACCTCTCCATCGAACCACCTCTCTCAAACATCTGCCGACGCGCTCCCCACAAGGTCCTCGTGCTGCCCTTCATGGAGGACCTCTCACTCTTCGCCATGCTGACCACCACCGCCAACGCCCTCGCCCTCGCAAAGGACGACCTCGCTATCAACCTCACCATAGGCCCTCGCCTCCCACGCCCACTACGCCCTGGGGCGGCTCCGCGTTCCGGGCCGAGCGCGCGCTCAACGAGCTCGCCCACGTCGCAGCCGAGACCGTTTCGCGCCGTGCCACGGAGGCTGAGGGGGTTTGGCGCGATAGGAAGATCATCGGCAGCCGTGCTGGGAGGGCGATGTTGAGGCCGAGGCATTTTGCATCGGCCACAAGCAGGCCTGCTGAACGCGCTCGGCCGATCCAGCGCATTGAAGGCTTCTCGCGGTCTGAAGGCCACGAAGACTGCTGCTCGCGACCTGCTCGTGGCCGTTGCCTAGAGGTATGTATGCTTGAGATTCGCTATCTCGTTGATATGAGACGTCTGACCGACCAGATTTCCACAGCAACTACTGCCGAATCTTCACATCAACTTTGACGAAGCCGACTGTCTTCCCTCGCATGCAAGTTTTTCAAATCTTTGCCATCGAGCCGGCATCCAAGGCGATGTCGACAAAGCAAGAGGTGGACAAAAACGACAATAACCTGAACACGAAAACAAATATAGACTACCATAGTTTCCTCTTCTCGTAACAGGCTACTTGCCGCCGATGAGACTCGGGATATCGTCTTTTGTTTCAAAATTGTAAAGGCGATGGAGGAAAGGACCCCTCGACGCCTTTTGCATATGTTTAATAGTGGTTGGGCCTCAAGTTGTACGCTCCCCGTCTCCGCGAGATGACAAGGGGTAGACAGTCGATACCTATATGATTGAGACGCTCGTCTCGGTGAAGGAGCAATGGATCCCCGAGAATGGGCATCATATCTTGTCTGCTAGCAACGTAAAGTGCCGGCTGGCTAGTGCGGATTGTCCAGCATCTCCATGATGTCTTGCGAGCCCATACCGAGTTTCATAGAGATGGGTTCGAGCAGCCTCTGCGACAAGATCAACACTCGAGTCAAGAAAGAGCGGATGCTATATCTTGCGTTGAGCACACGGACGACAGCAGAGCCAGAGCTTGAGCTGTCACGGCACTTAATGTGACAAGATTCCAGGATCTGAAAAACCTGATAAGCCGGTGCATTTCACATGGGCCATGCTACAAGGCAGGCAATTCTACTCGTCAAGAGAGACCATCAAGTATTTACGATGGGCGAATGCATGTACGCTCAATCATTGCGGTCCCCCTCACGTGCCCGTAGGCCGAGGGGCACCGCACCCAAGATTGTTCGCTTCCTTCTCCATTTCGATCTCCGTGTCCGATGGTCCTGGGTCCAGCAGAAGAGCGAACCTCTCAACAGACATTTGTTTTCACGAGAACATGAATGTTTTATTTTGCGTTGTTCAATAATGAAGAAGAAAGGAGGAAAGAAGAGTAAAGATGCGCTGCGCAGGCCGCGTTTTGTAGTGCGCCGCGAGAATTTTTTGGCAGGGTCCGTGCCTCAGGCAGCCAATCAACTCAACCCGACTGGACGACCCAAATGGGCGGGCACGAGGAAGACTGGGAATGAAAGGAAAGAAGGGTCCTTCCTTCGCGGTGCCCCCCTGCCTTCCAAGTGTTTGACACCCGCGGCCGGTCTTCGGCAAGCTGCGCTCCCCAGTGGGTCAGCTGCAACGACATGCCGTCACTGGGTGCTAGTCATTCCCAATCTCCCGCCCGTGCTGCTAGCACCAAGATAATCTCCCCTGGGATTGGGGATTGGAGATTGCTTCTCCAAACACCAACACAACAAAATCACACATACACACAAGATGGCCAAACCGACAGCAATGGCCGTAGACGCCCTTCCGAGGTTCCTGCTTCCTAGACTCAGCTGGACTGGTCCTGCGACAGCATCCCAAGCCCTACGGCCTGTTTCGGCACACCCTCCGAGCTCGCGCCGTCGGATGCACACCCGAACCAGTGCTTTCCACGATTCGAATTTACCATCCAGATGCCGCAGCAATGGCTTCAAGACCGAGCGCGCCTCGATACTGGCGAGCCCGGGCCTCACGAGGTCCTTCCATGCGACTCCTTCAAGGCGAAGAGACCACCACTTTGATACCTTGAAGTTCGTCCAGCGGATGAAGAGCGAGGGCTTCACGGAAGTGCAGGCCGAGGCCACGATGAAGGTCCTGAACGATGTAATACAAGAAAGGCATGCGACAGCGCCCTTATTTAGCATATTTATCCCTTCTAACAGCAGAGCAGCATACAGAACCTCACCCGAACCATGGTCCTCCGCGAAGACGCCGCCAAGGCAACCTACACCCAAAAGGTCGACTTTGCCAAGCTGCGCTCCGAACTCCTGTCCGCCGATAGCACCGAGTCGAGCACGACGCGCGCGTCCCACGAGAAGCTCGGCAACGACATTGCGAAGCTGAGCTCCCGGCTGCGCGACGAGATCGGCAGGACGCAGGCCAGTGTCCGCCTGGACCTGAACCTGGAGAAGGGTCGCATCCGCGAGGAGGCTGTCGGCCAGGAGCTCAAGATCAAGGAGACGGAAACAAAGATTGAGCAGGAGGTGGCGGCGCTGCGCGAGAAGCTTGAGCAGGTCAAGTTCCAGACGCTGCAGTGGCTGATGGGAGTGTGTACCGGTTTCGCCGCTCTGCTTCTTGGTGCCTGGAGGTTGCTCATGTAAACGGACCCAACCCCTGGGCTCGGCGTTGGCGCATTGTCCCACATCGCTGGCGGCGTTTCCAGAGTCAAGTGGAATATGCCAATGCACTTTGAGAATGCAAAATGCAGTATCCACGTAAGAGGACTTTCATCCCATCTTACCTTTGTTCGCAGCTGCCCTGCGTTGAATACGCGCGACATTTATCCAAACGGGCCGCTGCCTTGTGGTACGCAGATCCCAGGTCTCATGACCAGGCAGCTTGTCTCGAATATTGTAAGAAAGTCCTTATATGCACTTGCCAGATAGAGGATTGGGTACGAAACCCTCCAGTAAAATGAGTTCACCATCATATAAGACATTTCTCCCGAATCACACTTTGCTTCCGCCGAAACCTCTCTTCTAGCTTCTTCCAAACCCCCGTTTTCTCTACCCCGTTTACCCATGCACATCTCCCGAGCATCGAATATGTCAGCATCACCAAGATCCCAAGATGAATCCCACTATGGTTTTTCCATCTTTCCCTCGTGCCTTTCGATGATTCTGTAGAGATCACATCAGTCATGCCTCCCAATCCTGTGAATCGAGCAACACCATCAACGATATGGATATAGAACCTGAAGACCCGACGACCTACGGCTGGGCCTTCGGCGCGTACGAGAGAGTTGGCCCGGATACAGGGGCTTTAAAGCTCAGCGGAGCTTCTTTTGACGTCAAGGTAAGTCTCTCCCGCTAGTTTTCATGTAGAAATCGCGTCTGACTCGCTTCGTAGACGTCTCCCGGTCATATGGAGAACACATACGTTGGTCACCTCTCATGGCTAGTGCAAGTCGATCATATCTACGGAATACCTTAGTCGCGTGTCAACTGATGTTTCTCAAGATCTTGGTTTCCGCATAATGCCGAGCACCTCACAATCTACTTCATGTCAGCTACGGAAAGAATTCGTTTTTCTATTCCGGAACCCATCGTTGCACAGAATTTTCGTAACTTTCCCATTTTTAGCCTAGGACGAGACCCTTGGAAGAAGGAACAGCCGCTGCCTCGCGAGTACGAGTTTCTAAGTGAAGATGCTGATGCCTCTGGCCTCATCATGAGCTTCCTCATGACGGGAACCTTCCCTAAACATCCGCATGCCAGTGTTCGATCGACGTCCGACATGACTACCGAATTCATCTACGCCGGCGAATTGTCATTTAAGCTCGGTCTTCGCTGTATCAAGCGTTTCCGCTGCGCTGTATCTCTTCACTTGCGACAGTTGCTGCTAGAGGACCGAACAGCGCTGCTCGAAAGGCACATTACAAGCCTGTACAAACTCCTTGCCCGGCGTAAACTTTGCGCCCTTTGGGGGTTCAGACAGATGTTTGCGCAGGCAATGGTCAAGCTTGGTTGCGTCACTTGGACATCAGCCCAGTCGAGCCCGTGGACCTTTGCCCAGGCTCCGCCAAATTTGACACCATATGGGATGGTGATGACCCGGAGGAGTGGTCGATTATCGTCAAACATTGCCTTGGCCTTATAGGCCAGAGCGAACGTTTCAAAGCCGATGTTAGGTGGTACATGATCCAGACACTTGAAAATAGAACGAAGTTCAGCTCGGTTATCGCAGGTGAGTTGAGTTCGTTATCCTCAAAAATCTACCAGGCTCTAATAGCACCATCGACTACAGGCATCCCGCCACCCTGTTACTCTACTAATCCCGGGCAGCCCACTCCCACCTGTCACTTGGAGCTTTGTCACCTACCGCTACAGTGATCCCCTCGTACCTGCTGGAAGCAAAGTGAAGGCTCAACGCTTTACTACGACGGAACTTTCGCGAAGTGGCTGACCCCGGTCTAGTGACGGTCCTGACCAACCTCGGTTTGCTCTATGGTTCGGGCACATGATTTTGCTGTGAAGTACCGTTCATTCATAAAGATGCCGACAAAATCGTAGTCGGCATGGCAATTTGAGATACGAGTCATCAATTGAGCTTGGAGTCGAGATGTTCCGCAAAGAAAGGGCGGATGGTGAATTGCGTGGAGTTTGCGAATGTGACAGAATTCTTGCAAGATGATTGAAATCTGGGTAAGTAATTTTCAGTGAAGTAGGTGACATGACTCTGAACACCACATCTACAGACTTCTCACACTCCCTTGCCTTGTGTGCCTAGTACATCAGTACTCATTACCTTGCCATACTGCGTATGTGTTCATGATCCGGGACCCAAAAAAGGCTCCCGGGCTAAGGTAGGCTGATCGGGTCGCCGGACACGGGAGGTGATTAGTCGCTTATGTCATCCCGCATCCGGTCAAACATGCCTCCGGTCGGGAACCTGGAAACGGACACCATAGCAAGATAGCCACGTGACAGGCCCATAGCCATCCAGCCAGTGAAGGTTGAAGAGACAAGTGCACGGTCCAGATGGGTGGATACTTGGCTGAAGACAGCAAAGACCGGCAGGAGCAAGCAAGCCTGGCACGCCTGGCCAGCAAGGCAAGCAGTGAGGGTGGAAAGCTGGCAGCAAACCACAGACTTTAGGCGTCGCGCACCTGGCTCAGTGCGCAACAACCTGGCACTGGACTGGCAGGAACGAACCGAACAGGCAACGTAAGGTACTGCACCTAAAATAATCTCCAACCTTCCACCTCACCACAAGCGAACTACGTATCCCGTACCCATCTTTCCCATTCCCATTCCTCCCACCACCACCACCACCGCCGCCCCAAACAAAACACCACCATCACCGTTTGCCCAGCAGATTGTCATCACTGCGAGGTGCATCGTTACCCCGTCTTTACGTCTCCTCTTTACCGCTCTTTGTTTCCCTGTATTAATTGCCTTGTGCGCATTCAGTCGGGTCGCAAGGAAGCTATCCCCAGCTCCTACTCCTTTCTCTCCCAAATACACGACATCCACGTCGCCGTATCCACGAAATCCCGCGACACCCGATCAGCTGCGCGATACGAATCCGCGAACTGACACCACCCAGCTAAGGAGCGCAACTTGGTCTCTGGAAGCTTCTTGTCACACATAACGCCAGTCATGGCGCCACTACCGATCAAGTTCCAGGAGCTGATCCAGCTTCAGACTGCCGGTGTCGAGGACGCTTCCATCGGCTTCAACTCCTGCGTGAGCCATCACCGCCCGACCATCTCCCTACTCAATGGCATCATCATGACTGACTTGTTCTCTTCCAGACACTCGAGTCAGACTCTTATGTCTGTATTCGGGAAAAGAAGAACGAAGCTGCCCAACCCGAAGTTGTCATCGTCGATCTCAAGAACGGCAACAATGTCACACGGCGCCCCATCAAGGCCGACAGTGCCATCATGCACTGGACTCGTCAAGTCATCGCCCTCAAGGCGCAATCGAGAACACTGCAGATCTTCGATCTTGAGAAGAAGGCGAAACTCAAGTCTACCACAATGAACGAGGACGTCCAGTACTGGAAGTGGATCAGCGAGACCACTTTGGGCCTGGTTACAGATTCAGCAGTCTACCATTGGGACGTCTACGACCCCAGTCAGGCTCAGCCTGTCGAGGTCTTCAAGCGCAATGCTAACCTCAACGTGAGTGCAATGCTTCCTCTATCCTCCGCATGTCACCGAACTGTCTACTAAATACTATTAACCAGGGTTGCCAAATCATCAACTACCGAACCAACGCCGAGGGCAAGTGGATGGTGGTTGTTGGTATCTCGCAACAGCAGGGCCGCGTCGTTGGCGCTATGCAGCTGTACTCCAAGGACCGTGGCATTAGCCAGGCCATTGAGGGTCACGCTGCGGCCTTCGGCTCGCTGCGCCTGGAGGGTGCTCCTGCTGACACCAAGCTCTTCACCTTTGCTGTGAGAACCGCTACTGGCGCGAAGCTTCACATCGTCGAGGTCGACCACGCCGAGTCAAACCCCGTATTCCAGAAGAAGGCCGTCGACATCTTCTTCCCTCCCGAAGCCGTCAGCGATTTCCCCGTGGCTATGCAGGTGTCGCAGAAGTACGGTGTCATTTTCATGGTCACCAAGTACGGATTCATCCACGTCTACGACCTCGAGACGGCCGCCTGCATCTTCATGAACCGAATTTCCAGCGATACCATTTTCACCACCTGCCCCGACAACGAGTCTCGCGGTATTGTGGGCATCAACCGCAAGGGTCAAGTGCTCTTCGTTTCGATCGACGACGCCAACGTTATCCCCTACCTCCTTCAGAACCCGGCCAACACCGATATGGCTATCAAGATGGCATCACGAGCTGGCCTCCCCGGTGCTGATAATCTGTATGCTCGTCAATTCGAGCAGCTCTTCAACAGCGGTCAGTTCATGGATGCTGCCAAGATCGCGGCCAACTCTCCCCGACAATTCCTTCGAACCGCCGAGACGATCGAGAGATTCAAGTCGCTCCCCCAGCAACCTGGTCAAATGTCCTTTGTCCTGCAATACTTTGGCCTCTTGCTCGACAAGGGAGCCCTGAACGAGCACGAGTCTATTGAGCTTGCACAGCCCGTTCTCGCTCAAAACCGTCTCAACCTGTTGGAGAAATGGCAAAAGGAGGGCAAGTTGACTGCGTCCGAGAGACTCGGTGACCTTGTCCGCCCTCACGACCTGAACATGGCTCTCACTCTTTATCTCAAGGCCAACATCCCTCACAAGGTTGTTGCTGGCTTTGCCGAGACGGGTCAATTCGAGAAGATCCTGCCCTATGCCACCCAGGCCAACTACCAACCCGACTACGTCCAACTCCTCCAGCACATCGTTCGTGTCAACCCGGAGAAGGGTGCAGAGTTCGCCACAGCCTTGGCTAACAACGAGGGCGGTTCCCTAGTCGATATCGAGAGAGTGGTCGACATCTTCCAGTCTCAGGGCATGATCCAGCAAGCTACGGCTTTCTTGCTTGATGCGCTCAAGGATAACAGACCTGACCAGGGTCACCTTCAGACTCGTCTCTTGGAGATGAACTTGATGAATGCTCCCCAGGTTGCCGATGCTATCCTTGGAAATGACATGTTCTCTCACTTTGATAAGACTCGCATCGCGACACTTTGTGAACAGGCCGGTTTGGCCCAAAAGGCATTGGAGCTCTACGAGGACCCCGCTGCCGTCAAGCGTGTCGTTATCAACATTGCCGCCACCCCCAACTTCAACATCGACTGGTTGACCGGCTTCTTTGGCAAGCTGTCCGTTGAGCAATCTCTGGACTGCTTAGATGCCATGATCAAGCACAACATCCGCCAGAACCTGCAAGCGGTGGTCCAGATCGCCACTAAGTACTCCGACTTGCTGGGTCCCGTGCGCCTGATTGATCTCTTCGAGAAGTACAAGACTGCTGAGGGTCTCTTCTACTACCTTGGCAGCATTGTCAACCTTTCAGAGGACCCCGATGTTCACTTCAAGTACATTGAGTCTGCTACCAAGATGGGCCAGTTCAACGAGGTTGAGCGTATCTGCAGAGACAGCAACTACTACAACGCCGAGAAGGTCAAGAACTTCCTCAAGGAAGCCAGACTTCAGGAGCAGCTGCCTCTTATCATCGTCTGCGACAGATTCAACTTCGTCCACGACTTGGTTCTCTACCTGTACCAGCAGCAGCAGTTCCAGTCCATCGAGACTTACGTCCAGCGTGTCAACCCCAGTCGGACTCCCGCCGTCATCGGTGGTCTGTTGGATGTTGACTGCGATGAGAGCATCATCAAGAACTTGCTGTCGACCGTCAACCCCGCCTCTATCCCCATCGATGAGCTCGTGTCCGAGGTTGAGTCTCGCAACCGTCTCAAGCTTCTTCTCCCCTTCCTCGAGGCTACTCTTGCTGCCGGCAACCAGCAGCAGGCCGTGTTCAATGCTCTTGCCAAGATCTATATTGACTCGAACAACAACCCTGAGAAGTTCCTCAAGGAGAACGACCAGTATGACACCCTCAGCGTCGGTAAATACTGTGAGAAGCGTGACCCCAACTTAGCCTTCATCGCCTACTCCAAGGGTCAGAATGACCTTGAGCTCGTCAACATTACCAACGAGAACGGCATGTACCGCAACCAAGCTCGATACCTGCTCGAGCGGGCTGACCGCGAGCTGTGGACCTTCGTCCTCAGCGAGAACAACATTCATCGCCGTTCCGTGATTGACCAAGTGACCGCCACCGCGGTTCCCGAGTCCACTGATCCCTCCAAGGTCTCCGAGGCTGTTGCCGCCTTCCTTGCCTGCGATCTTCCTCTTGAGCTCATTGAGCTGCTTGAGAAGATTGTTCTCGAGCCGTCACCTTTCAGTGATAACACCAACCTTCAGAACTTGCTTCTGTTCACCGCTGCCAAGGCCGACAAGGGTAAAGTTATGGACTACATCCACCGTATGGACAACTTCAGCGCGCCGGACATTGCATCAGCCTGTATCGACGTTGGTCTCCACGAGGAGGCCTTCGAGATCTTTAAGAAGACTGGTGACAAGACTTCCGCTGTTGATGTCTTGGTAGAGAACGTCGTTAGCATCGACCGTGCCCAAGCTTACGCCGAGGAGGTCGATTTGCCCGAGGTTTGGAGCAAGGTCGCCAAGGCTCAGCTTGATGGCCTGCGCGTCACTGACTCTATCGAGTCCTACATCAAGGCCGATGACCCCAAGAACTACGAGGAGGTTATCGAGACCGCTGCCCGCGCCGGCAAGGACCAGGATCTTATCAAGTACCTCCGCATGGCCAGAAAGACGCTGCGCGAGCCTGCCATCGACACTGCTCTCGCCTTCTGCTACGCTCGTCTGGATGAGCTCGGCGAGCTCGAGGACTTCCTTCGCGGTACCAACGTTGCCAACATCGAGGAGTCTGGTGACAAGGCGTATGAGCAAGGTCTGTACCAGGCCTCCAAGATCTTCTTCACCAGCATCTCCAACTGGGCCAAGCTGGCAACCACCCTCGTCCACCTTGAGGAGTACCAGGCTGCAGTTGAGTGCGCTCGCAAGGCCAACAACATCAAGGTCTGGAAGCAGGTTCACGAGGCCTGCGTTGAGAAGAAGGAGTTCCGTCTTGCCCAGATCTGCGGTCTCAACCTCATTGTTGACGCCGAGCAATTGCAGACCCTTGTCAAGCAGTACGAGCGCAACGGCTACTTCGATGAGCTCATTGGAGTCTTGGAGCAGGGTCTTGGCCTTGAGCGTGCCCACATGGGTATGTTCACCGAGCTTGGCATTGCCTTGTCCAAGTACCACCCTGAGCGCTTGATGGAGCATCTCAAGCTCTTCTGGAGCAGAATGAATCTGCCCAAGATCATCCGTGCTTGCGAAGAGGCGGCCCTCTGGCCCGAGCTGGTCTTCTGCTACTACCACTACGATGAATTCGACAACGCTGCTATGGCGGTCATTGAGCGCCCTGAGAACTCATGGGAGCACCAGCAGTTCAAGGAGATCGTCGTCAAGGTGGCCAACTTGGAGATTTACTACCGCGCCATCAACTTCTACCTCGAGCAGCACCCATCCCTGCTCACCGACCTCCTCCAGTCTCTTACTGCCCGTATTGACGTCAACCGTGTTGTCAAGATGTTCGAGAAGAGCGATAACCTGCCGCTCATTAAGCCTTTCCTCGTCAATGTCCAAACTCAGAACAAGCGCACCGTCAACAACGCCATCAACGACTTGTTGATCGAGGAGGAGGACTACAAGACCCTCCGCGACTCTGTGGAGAACTACGACAACTACGACCCCGTCGACCTTGCCTCTCGTCTGGAGAAGCACGACTTGATCTTCTTCCGCCAGATCGCTGCCAGCATCTACCGCAAGAACAAGCGCTGGGAGAAGTCCATTGCTCTCTCCAAGCAGGACAAGCTCTTCAAGGATGCCATCGAGACGGCTGCCATCTCAGGCAAGACTGATGTTGTGGAGGACTTGCTCCGCTACGTAAGTTGTTCTCATCCTACTTGACTACGCATTGAATACTAACACGTCACAGTTCGTCGACATTGGTAGCCGTGAGTGCTACGTCGGCATGCTCTACGCTTGCTACGAGCTCATCCGCCCCGACTTGGTCCTGGAGATCTCTTGGCGCAGCGGCCTTACCGATTTCGCCATGCCTTACATGATCAACATGTTGTGCCAGCAGACCAAGGACTTGGCCGCTCTCAAGGCCGACAACGAGGCTCGCAAGAGCAAGGAGAAGGAGCAGGAGAAGGACGAGACCAACACTCCTATCCTTGGCGGCAACCGCCTCATGATCACTGCCGGTCCCGGCGGTATGGGCGCTCCTCCCGCGCCCTACGGTCAGACCAACGGCTTCGCTCCCCAGCCTACTGGCTTTGGATTCTAGATGAGGACACCAGAACGTGGTTGGATTTTTGTGCCTCTAGCGAGGCTGCATGATAGGGCCACACAGTTTTATCCCCAGTCTATTATTTTCGGCGGCATGAGGTATCTGGCGGCTGGTGGGGTCTACTCACCTGCGCCTTTAAAATTCAATGAACGCGGACGATGGCGTTGAGATAACCAAAGGGCTTCCTGTAATCGTATCTTCTTTGCTCTCTGGATGGATGAGCATGTTAGGCAGGCGGATGGAGTGTGTTACGCGAAGGGAAACTATGGGGGTGGTGCCTTATCTTTCCTATGTGCACACACTACGCTAGACTCTTGCCATTGCTGGACCGATTCAGGGATATCGCGAGCCTGTCGCCTGAGCCCAAATCTGTATGATAGTTCTTTTAACGTTGATTCTTTCTGATGACGAATGGTGTGCCAAAGCTTTCATGTGAATCGCCTCGTCTGCGCTTATCCTGATATAAGTATCTCGTGGACCAAAGACTCAAGGTCCCAACCCATTTTACCAACCCCAGTCCCTGAACGGGCAACAGGTAGTCCACAGCCCAAGAATGGCATCACATCAAGGAGGTATTAACCTGCTTCAGCATCATATTCAATACAATGTGTCTGTCGGGTTCGAAATTGCGGTTGAGCATGCGCCCGAGTAGATTCTATCAATGCGACATCTTCAAAAAATTGACATAATTTGATTTCGCTCCAAAAACTCCATCTTTAAATAAACCAGATAATAAAATTAAAACTTTGGTACACCGTCAAGCTTGGCTACGCTCGACCTCTTCTCCTTCACCTTGGGCTCAATCATTGGTTTGGCATCGGCGACCTTGAGCCACTCTCCGTTGAAGGCGTTGATGAGCCAGTTGTTTAGTTCTAGGAGGCGGTGCGGTTAGCATGGGTCTTCCGAGTGTCCTGTTGGGTCCTCTGGGGTGACGGGGGGGTTGGACTCACTATCGTAGACAATCTTGTTCGCATTGTGAAAGTAAATACCGTGGTCGCTATCAGGGAAAACATGGACGTCGTAATTCTCGACGCCTTCGAGGTTGAGCTTGTCGAGGAGGGTGAGGGTGCTTTGGTAGTGCACGTTATCGTCCGAGACGCCGTGCATCATCAGCCAGCGCACGTTGCCGGCGAGGGCGGAGACGTTGGAGATGGCCGTCTGGTCGTAGCCGTCCGGGTTGAGCTGCGGAGTGCGCATGTAGCGCTCCGTGTAAATGGAGTCGTAGAAGCGCCAGTCCGTGACGGGCGCGACGGCCATGCCGTAGCTGAAGGTCTGGCCGGCGTCCATCTCGAGCGTCTTGAGGGTCTGGAAACCGCCGTAGCTCCAGCCCCAGATGGCGATGCGGGCCGAGTCGACGTACTTGAGGGCGGACCAGTGCTTGGCGGCGGCGATCTGGTCAATGGCCTCCCAGTGGCCCAGCTTCTCGCGGATGAGGACGCGGTTCTTGCGGCCGATGTAGCCGGTGCCGCGGCCGTCTACCGTGACGACGACGTAGCCGAGGGAGGAGGCGATGTAGGACTGGAAGTCGACGGAGAACCTCTTGCTGACGGACTGGGATCCCGGGCCGGAGTACTGCTGGAAGAGAACCGGGTACTTCTTCTTCTCGCTGAAGTGGGGAGGGCGGCGCTCGACATAGTTGAGCTCGACATCGTCGACTTTGATGGTTCCGTATTTGAGGATGGGAAGCTCGTACTTCTTTGCATTTTCGGCGAGCTGTGTATTCTGTTCGACGACATGCTCGTAACTGGTGGGGTTGCTGGGAGTGCTGATGACCTTCTGCCAAGGGATCTTGGGGCCCAGGTACGAGAGAAGGCCGAAGCCTGCGCCACTGGAGAAGGAAATGTCGTAGTAGCTCTCAAATTTGGTGTCCGTGAACGGCTTCAAGTCGGAGCCGTTGAGGTGGACGCTGTAAACGTGACGCTGGATAGAGGACTCTTTAGTTGACACGAAGTAGACCAAGTTGTTGGCCAGGTCGACGGCGGAGGGGCCGTTCACGACTTCCCAGTTGCCACCCGTGAGGTAGACAGGCTCGGGGTTGTCCATGGGCGAGAAATAGGCAATATGGTCGCCATCATCGTGGATCACGGTATCGACATATCCATCGTCCGGTCTTCCATTGGCAGGGTCCGCAGGGATGAACTGGGTTTCGTGAGAAATCTCAAACCAGCCGCCGTCGATTTTGCCAACGTCAATGGTGTTCACAATCTTGCCCGTCCGAGCCACGACGTCAACGAGAACCACGCGCATGATGTCGCTCACGCGGTTGGTCTCCTTGATGAGGACCTTGTTGTTAGCCCAGAGGACCATGTTGATGAGTCTGTCGTCATCGGCAAAACCACCCTCAATGTCCACGGCGAAAACGTCGCCACGCTCGACATCGTAAAAGAGCAGGTCTACGACGGGGTTGTGGCTACCGGCACGAGGGTACTTGATGCGCTTCTCGTCCGGATATGTCTCTTCGCCGGCGGGTTTTTCCTTGCCCGAGGGTCTAGACATGAAGTACTGCAGTGGGTACTCGGGCACACCCGTTTCGTTGGTGCGCAAGAAGGCGACATACTTGCCATCCTGAGAGTACCATGTAGCGCTGTTACTGGCAAAGACCTCCTCCTCGTACACCCAGTCGGGAATACCGTAAAAGTACTCGGGGCCACCATCCTTTGTGATTTGCGTAACCTTCTTGTCACCGTCAAGCTTTCTCAAGAACAAGTTGTTGTCCCGAGTGAAAACGATAGCATTGCTCTGAGGGCTCCACGTCGCAAGCTGTACACGCGCGTCAGAATGCTCGGGGTCAAGAGGCTCAGCAGTCTGGGTCTCGACGTCGAAGATCCAGTACAGCGCGGTAAAAGAGTGGCGCCAATTGTGCTTGCGATCGGTCGAAACGAGCACCTTCTTCATGTCCTTGCTCGGGCGGCCGTCGTACGGCGTCATTTGGCGGCCGCCAACGTTGATCCAAGGATTCTTCATGAGCGTGCGACTCTGGACGACCTCGGCGGAGACCTGGCGGTCCAGCTTGCCCGCCCTGACGTCCTCGACCACGAGATAATCCTTGCCTCGCGCACCCTGCTCGAGCAGCAGGCCATCCTCTCCATTAGGCCCCTCGATCCAGCTTATTGAGTGAGAGTAGGGCGACCAGAAGCCGGTCATGATCTGGTCCAAGGTCACCGGCTTGCCGGATCCGCGCGATGTCGCAGAGGGGTCGTGGTCGACCTGACTGCCGTGCTGGTATGACTTGCGAGACAAGAAGACGAACAGAGCACCTCCCCATGCGAGGAGGAATGCGGCGGCGAGTATGCATATCCCCTTCTTCAGCCCGCGGTCCATGCCTACACGGCGCATCATGCCCGTCGTAGGCGCCAGAAAGGGCCCCGTCTCGAGGTCATTGGCGTCGGACTCTTTGTAATCGTTGTCATCGTCGTCGTCCGGGTGGTCGGCGTAAGCGGGACGCGAGGCGGACGGGGCGCGCCGTCTCTGGGAAGATGAAGACGAGTATGACTTTTCATTTTGCTCGTGCAGTCGGTCGAAGACGAGGCTGGTGGTGGAAACGCTCGAGAGGGATGATTCGTGGGACATCCTGGGGTCCTCGGCGGTGGGTGCAGCGGAAGCGCTTGGTGCTGGGTCCATGGTGTCGGAGAACGGAGACGGAGAGGTCTCGTCGGGTGGTTATTAGTTCGTCGGTCTGGAGGGTTTGACGGTAGGTTCGGTTCTTCCGTCCGGGGGGGTAAGCTTCGCCAAGGCGAGAGGGCAGCAGGGCAGCAGATGGCAAAGCTAAAGAAAGATGGGATCGAAACTAGGTGGATTGCGCGGTGACTTGAAACGGCATGCTGTCTCGAGGCAGCTTCAGCCCTCTTTTGGAAATCAAAGGACGCAACGACACCCCATGGACCGGAGGGTTCGTACCTGATGATATCGCAGGAGGGCCGTCGGAAGGGTAGGACGAGCACGCAAGAAGATACGAGAAGGACCCGTGGGTGAAGGAGGAGAAGGGGGAATGTCGGAGAGTTGTGTAGGTGCGAAGGATCGTGAAGTGGACGTGGACGAGGCCGAGGCCGTGGAGGCGAGTCAATGAACGAACAAAGAGCACTTGGGTGGCACACCTATCGGGGTGCTGGGCTGGGGAGCTTTGCGGGTGGTCCACAGGTGCATCCATTGGCTTGGGTTTAGTGGCGGGTCCCCTGGCGGAGGTGGCCTGGATGTCGAGTACCACTGCTGTGGGAGACGGATGCGGAGCGCGGTAGCAAGTGGGCTTGGCCCGTTTCAATGGTTCTTCGGAGCTAGCCGGGGGCAGTTAGCAGGGTGCTACGGGTGTCTCGTTTAATTGTTCGAATGCAGCAGGTCTTAGCTAAGCGGTCCTTATCTTGCCTTATCGCGGGAGTCGGACCCTGCCATTTCAAGGTACCTTACCGTACCTCAAGACCAGCTGCATCTGCACCTTCGTTTCTTCCATCTGCAAGCCAAACATTCCATATGAGGCAGGTCTATCAGGTCCATGTTCTCATATCAATTGAGTAAGAGAGAGGCATATTCTTCACTCAGACATTGGCTAAGCACTGTTTCTCATCTCAACTTCATCTGCGATCCATCTGGTCCTCATCCATGCACGAACATCACGACATCAACTGTACATCATCGACAACAGACCATCACTGTTTCAATGATCTCCGTATAAGAGCAGTCTATACTTGACTGTCCAAACATGTTTGACTTGTCAAAGTCCTCGATTCAGCTGCCTCTCAAAATAACATCAACTACAACGCAGTGGTATCAAAACTCCTCTGCCCAGCTACCTCAGGCCTCCATTTCAGAATACCTCACACAACCGCAATCCTCCGTGAAACAAAAACCTCACCCTGCCAAGCTCAACCCCCACGACAACCTCACCTCATCCTTCTTCTCCCCCTTTCCTTTCACTCCCGCCCCGTCTCATTCTACAGTGCTACACACTCTCTCAACTCCCCCCAAGCTGCGGCGCAACCCCTTCTCCTCCCTCAACCTTCTCAACAACACACGCAGTCCCATACGCACACGTCTGTGCGAACCCGCCTAAATCCGACGCATCAAACCTTAAACAAATGATCGCGTTGCCCCCCCTCTGCTTACACTCGCTCACCACTCTCCCCAGCGCATCGTTCCGGCAGTTGTACAGCATCGTCGTGAACCACCGCAGCTCCCCGCCCGCAAGCGACTTGATCACCATGCCCAGGCTCGCGGCGATGTTGCGCGAGCGCACCGAGAGGCCGTAGACTGCGCCTAGGGTGCGGGTAATGCGGTAGCCGGGGATGTCGAACATTGCTGCCCCTGTGTAAGCATCGCTGCTGTGTAAGATATGTATGTGGAGTGTACAAGGTAAGGTAAGGTAAGGTAAGTGATGGGGTAAAGATGCGGACGTACTGGTTGTGATGACGCCGCCCGTTTCTGTGAAGCAGTGCAGGTCTGATAGCTCCGGCGGGACGTTGGCCACGTCTTCTTGCTTGACGTCGCTTTTTCTGCCCATGAAGTTCATTATGACTGTTCGTGATTTTGGCTTCAAGTCAATTGCGGTGACGAAAATCTTGGGATTTCAAATGTTCTCTTCCCACTGCTGCAATACCTTGAGAGTATGAGAAAAGGCTGTTCGTCTCTGTAATCTGGTAGGGTGGTCGCCGAGAATGAAGACAGTAAGCCCATACTTTATACAAAATTCAAAAGCATCCAGTTGCCCTGCTCCCTTACTTCCCAAACTTTACGTCTTCTTCCCCAAAGACTACCAACTATGAGGCCAGCAACTCCAATCCCGTGCAAGGCCGATCACCGCCGGGCAATGGATCCAAGCAGCCAAGCGACCAAGCGGCCATTCACGGCCCCATCCGGCGCACCCCACCGAAGCTCACTATTGGACGCAGCCGGGGCTGAGTCTCCCGGATCGTATTTCGTATCTGCACCGATGACATTAGGCAGAGACACACGTGACGGGAATTGGCAATGTCTCTTCCACTTTGCACTCGGACGAACTGCGGTTAAGTAGCTGATGCGATTGGAGACATTGATCGATATCTTTCATGAAGGTCTACTCAGCCCTGTTTGCTCAAACGATATTCTCTACACGGGGGCTATGTTGTGTAATCGACTTGAGGTTGACGATGAGCTCAGCGACGGGTTGATCTCTGGACTTTCAACTGTTGCTTTCTTTCCGGAAGCTATGAATGTCTTGCAGCTTGATAGCGCGTTGACTGCATGATAACACAAGACTGGCCAGTCCTAGTTTTGGGCCAGCCATCTCACAAACGCCATCAGCGTTTGGCTTTCGTTTTGATATCTCATGCAATCATCGATTGCACTGAAGTACCAGCTGTGGGCAGAGAACTTTTAGCATTGGCTATATGGGACCATAGGAGCAAGCGGCACCTGTGAGGCTGTAGCCTCTCTAGGAACCTGGAACAACTCCTCCCTTGGCCTCAAACGTCTCGGAACGTAGCCGCCGTCGACTTATCAAGAACACCATCAACTTGAGAATTCGACCGAGCTTCTCGAAGAACACATGGAAAGCAGACAAACTGAGTTGCATCCTCCTCCTTTGTATAAGCTATATCACTTTACTTACTTACCCTAACATGTCCAACGCTACCTTGCTCCAGAGGTTTCCCTCCTATTAAGCCGGCCCTTTCACTTCGCAAAAGTCCAAACATACGATGCGTTCGCCTTTCCTCATCCCTATCCTCCTCGCTATCCCTTCCGCTCTGGCATCACCTTCACCCTGTACCGCCGCAACGATCCAATGTCCACTCATCTTCGACGGCCGCGTCCCCGCCAAAGCGACACCTCAAGACTTTGACACGGCCCTCGGCGGTGGGTGGAATCCGTATAATCCAGACTACGTGAAGGGCGCGAACTTGTCCTGGTCGGATATCATCCTCCTGCCGGGCCCGGCTCCGGTCTCCACTCGGCCCGGGTCACGGTCCTCCCGCTTCGATGTCGCGGAGAGGAAGCGTCCTCTCGAGGTCACGATTTCCGATGCGAGTGTCTTCATGAACCAGCGAGGCTTCCGGCGCGCGGGATTGTTGTTTGCGGAGGATACGAATGAGGGGAGTCCTGCGGGGGAGGGGGTGAAGACGTTGCATTTTAGTGCGAGGTCGGATTTGGAGAGGCCGTTGAATCTGACGCACGAGTATCTTGTAAGTCTTCTTCTTTCGGTGCCTCCATTGACGGAGGATGTGAAGGCCAAGTCGCGAATGCATACTTTGGTGGCATTCAAGCTGATAACCTTTTGGTAAATGCAGAATGTCTGGCACGAGACGGCGGCGTATGATGCGAATCAGTTCAATTTCCAGACCGGCACCATCATCGGCCAGCCGGAGTTACCAAAAGACACGTACAAGCTGTTGGGTCGGGATAATAAGCTGCTCTGGTCGACGCCGATGGCGATGGACGGGTCGTGGCAGAACTTTGCGCTCACGTTGGACTTTTTGAACAAGTGAGCTAAGCCATTCTTACTCCTCCTAGCCCTCTGTTCATCCTCGAATGACTGATCAAACTGCGTTTGGTGCTTTGCGAAAAAGAACCTCCGGCTGACGGTCTGCCTCTAAGTACGATCCAGATATGGTACTCTGCAGGCAACAACCCGCTCGCGAGGCAGGGTGGTGTCGTCCCGGTTGATCTCGCCGGCGACGGGCAGTACCAGATTGGCATCTTGAAGAAGCCCACGGGTACCGATGACGTGGTGAACTCGGGGTATCAATCCAGTAACCTGAACGAGGGTCTGATTTACGGTGGGATCTTTATTGAAGATAGCGCCAATGGTTGTGTGTCCATCTAAGAGTCTGCTCGTCTTTACTTCGTCACTTGGGTTATTGTGAGCCCGTCTCTATAATTCCAAGTTCAAATCTGCTTCTCCAAGTCTATTTGTCCGAATCTAGAACCGCCATCTTTATGTCGCATGTTCGTAAACGGACCTCTAAGGATGCCAGAACTCTAATTCTATCCTTTCTCACCGAGCAATTGGGGAGGGGGTGGGTGACCCCCCTCCCCCAGCGAGGCTTATTCTTGCACATTCACGGCAGTAAAGCTCGCTTTCAACGGAGCGATGCTAATGACGCCATTAAGCGAAGCCCACAGGTCCTCACCCTCGGAACTCTCCTCAGCTTGTCGTTTGATATCACCAAGCTGCGGCGCCCACCGAAACTGATACGTACGCGACGACGATGCCGGCGCCGACATCGCCAACTTCTTCTCAGGGTCGGCGGCAGAGTCCTCGAGCACGGGAACGAACAAGCCCCCCGTGACCCATCTCCCCTCCGCGATCTTGGTCAACCTCACCGGCGCCTCACCGACGTCGGCGACCATGGGCACATTGACGCTATACACCTCCACTTGCGGGTGCCACTCGCTCGCAAGCTCCTCCACGAGCTTAGCAGCCCGCACGCACGCCGCGCGGATGGTCGTCGGCGGTTGCGGGTCTTTACTCCCGAAGCTGAGGGCCACGGCGCGGCGCCCGCACTGCGCGGCTTCCAGGGCGCCGCCGACGGTGCCGCTGCTGAGCGCGTAGACGGTGCTCGCGTTGCGGCCGTGGTTGGGGCCCGATACGACGAGGTCAAAGTCTTGCGGCGATAGGTCGGGCGTGTGGAAGAGTCCTAGTTGGGTGCAGCTTGCCGGGGGCCCGTTTACGATGAGCCAGCGGTGGGTGCGGTCTTCAGTCTCGCCGCAGCCGGGGACGCTGCAAGTTTTGTTGGCGTCATCTGAACAGAACGACGCTGGACATCTGCTCTCTGCGGTCAGGGTCTTGCCGACGGCGTGGGCTTTTCCGATCCAGGAGAGCGGCTTGTCGGGTATGACCACGACGGTTGTGTGGCCCGCCTCGTTCAGGGCGGTGATGAGGGGTGCCAGGTAGGGCGAGACGGGGGACGGGGGACCGTCGTCGTTGACTACCTACGGACACGGAAGAGGGAGAGGCGTACTCATCAGCTTATTTGATGTTCCACCCCGTACGTTTGTAACCATGTCAGCCGGGTATAACCCACGCATTGTGCGTGTGTAGGTAACCCGGCCAGGGGGGGGGGGAGATAGTAGGCCATTTTATTTACCAAGAGCCGCATTGTCGCACGTCGGCGATGTCCTAAGGACAGTGAGGTCCAAAGAAAACAAAGAGATAGGAAGAGATATGCCGAGGTCGGGCAGCAATATATTGGCAAATCTGGCGCCGACGCGTTCGGCTTTTCTGATGCCTCTCTTCTCTGGTGGGTTTTGATGGGGTAGTGCCGTTGTCGTAGTGGTAGTACGCCGTAGATCCAAAGCAGGCTGCCGCCGAGCCGCAGCAGTGACGGACAGAAGAATGCAGAAACAGGGATCAGGAGGAAAGAAGGCAACCGAGGGCCAAGATCAGGCTGCCCGGCTATGGTTCCGCGGATGAGGCAGACGAAAGGAAAAGATGGTGTAAAGGAGAGTTTCCGGGACAGACTGTAGCTGGGCGAAGTATGACGCGCGCGCTTCGGTCACTCAAAAGAGGGAAACATGAGAAAAGGGCTGGCTGTTTTGGCTGGATTATAAGAGACAACACCAAACCGGGGGGTACAAGAAAAGCTCCGATGTGAGGTATGACTCTTACCGTGGTCCATGGGAGAACCCACAGGGCTGATATTCTGTGTTTACCTTGACCCTCTAGTCGGAGTAAAGAAGGGTCTGTTTTGTGTCGTGTCCTGTCATGTGGCACGGTATTGACTTTGTCCGATGATTCTGAGAAGAGCTGAAAATTGATGTTCCCCTCCTCATCCATCCCGGCCCAGTTCTTGTCTTTCGGTTGACCCCGCCGACCACGGAGCACGGCAACGCCGCATCGGATGGATCTACGAAGGGGACCAAGGTCGAGTGCACGAGAAGGGAAAGTCGAGGTAGATGAGGGTGGGATAATGCCTCCAATGTTCGGATCAAGGCCACAGTCCACACACACACACACACACACACACGCCATAAATGCCATAAATGCGACTCGGAAGCAGCCAAAGAACTTGGCACGCTTGTGGGCTTGTGGGAAATACTTGAACTTTGGGACGAGGCGTCCCGAGTCGGTGGTGCGCCTTGCGGTTTGCCCAACGTGAGCTTCTGCAGGCTCTCTCTCTCTCTCTTCTTGGTCCACCACACACTCGCCCTGTCTCGATGGAGTATGGACTACGAGATGGTGTAGTGGAGAGGAAGTACTTACCTTGCACCCTGCTCATGTACCCTCCTCATGGACATCACAACCTTGCCATGTATGGAGGGAAACCAAACATTGGGACGAGGAAAGAAAGTGTCTAAATCATTGGACGAAAGGCGTGCGAGAGAACCAAGAACCGGTGTAAGCCGCCATCTGCCGCCCTATATCGGAGCCCTGGAACTCCCTTCCCCGGCGCCAACTTCTGCTGTAACACACCGAAAGGCGTGCACGTTTCCCCTTGCCTAGGGGTCTGGTTGGTCCATTTAGTCCCCTGGGCTACACTAAGGAAAGCACCGCGCAGATGCCACAGCAGAGACACTCAGTGACGGAAGCTTTCCTCTCGTCCGCTTGTTCCCACACGCGCACACTCACTTACACACACCCTTCGTCAACCACATGCCAACAAGACAGACAGACGGACAGACAGACGCCTCCAATCAATCTGATCAAGGTCCAGCCAAGCAACAGCAGAGCCTCGTCTTGCCAACCCAGGCAAACAATACCTTATGAAGGGCCTCCCATCCCCTCCCCAGCCTGTTTGGGGCACTCACTTCCTCTTCTTGCCACACTTCTGGGCAAACTCACTCCAACACAGCCTTCTTGGGATAAAGTAGGCATTCATCATCAAAGTCATCTTGAAATTTCACACTGGTATGGCACACTGGGATAATATCAGGAACAATACCCCATTCACATGGGCCGGGCAATCGGCCGACGACCCCTTCAGCCAACAACAATGGCCAGCAGCAGCAGCAGGCCATGATGGCTCTTCTGCTCAGCCCATCGGTCCCGCCGGCCTCCTCAGCACCGACGCTCCTAGAAACGATGAGTCCTTGATCAAGTGAGTTGGAGCCTCGTTGTCTCCTTTGCCCGAGACACCGTCATAGTCATTGTCTAACATAGCTCAGGGACTTTTACGCCGAGCTTCCAGATTATCTTCATCAAGCCGGCGTCTCCGCTCTATCGTCCACTTGGCCGCCCACCCACGCGGCAGTGGCAGACCAGAACGATCTCCCTTTCGACCTCGCCATTGACAATGGCATCGAGCTCGACGCCGCCAAACCTGTGTCGTCGGAGCTGGCCCGAACAAGCAGCCAGGCGAGCTCGTCTGGCGTCGATGAGGAGGAATCCGTCGTCTTCAGCCATGCTGGCGACTTTAGTAACGGTGTAGGCTTCGATGACAGCTTTGGACAAGGCTTGTTTGGCAGCATCAACAGCCCGAGCACCACCTTCTCCGACGTCATCCTGTCTGCGAACCACTCCCTTGAGAGTAGTCCCATCGTGAATACTAGATGCCCGTATCTCAGCTTGCAGGTAGAGAGTCCCGTTTCTGGCGCTTCGTCGGCGACGGCGGCCAACACCCCGCAATCATCCGTACTCGGCGTCGATGATGCCTTTTCCGACATTGGCTTTGCTCCCGCCGATACGCCAAGAAGCGTCCCGGGCCCGCATGTCAGCGCCCTGTCGACGGGCTTGGCGAATCAGACTTCGTTGTCAACCAGCTTGAGTCTGAGTCCCACTTCGCCCTTCTATGATCGTTGGGATTCTGATGTCGGGGAGGGGAGGGTTGACGACTTTGACCGTCTGATGTGGGGCACTCCATCGCTCCCCGAAGGCTTCATCCCGTATAACGCGAACCAGTTGGGCCCGTCGTTGGTTATTGTTCCACCTGATATGCCCGACATTCACATGGGCGACTATTGCGATAGTGCGACTCCCGACCCGCCTTCACCCTCGCAGACGCATCCCATCGACTACTACCTTAATGAGATGTATGCACCTCCTAGACTAACACAACCTCGGAGCGTCCCAAATACATCGGCAGCACAGAACCCTGCCGTAACCGCGGCGAGTGGCCTTCTGGTCCCGGGTAGGAGACTCAGGAGACGATCAGACCCGGTCCGTATGGATGCAGTCGTCGGAGGACAGGTCCCCAGACTTCAATCGGCAATGAGCAGCACCACTCCTGCATCGCAACGCAGAAGCCCCGTTCAGCGTACCACGGCTCAGTTCCTGTCTGTATCTGGCGCTTCTCACTTCCAGAGATTGCGCCCATCCGAGCCACCGAGGAGGTCAGGAGTGACAGAGCCCATGCCCATCGTGGCCCGCCCAAGAAGGTTGAGCAACAGCAGCAGTAGCAGATCCTCTGATACACAAAGCCTCGTGGGCCGGCCCGGTCGGTCAGGCCCGGCTCGCGGGCGCCGCCACGGCCCGATGGACCCCGTCTCTCGTGGACAGGCCAAGGAGACGCGGAACAAGAAGATGGTGTGCATTCGCTGCAAGCACTCCAAGCAAAAGGTCAGCACTTGTTACCAAGGCAGTCCGTGGTACTTTTCACTAACCTGTGCCCAGTGCAATCGAAGTGATGATTCCTCTCAGGGCTCTTGTACCGGATGTGACAAACACGGCGGCTCTCAAAGGTGGCCCGGGCCCTGCGTCAGAGCCCATTTTGAGGACCTCATTCAAGCGGGAACGTGTAATTACATCTGTAAGTCAATCTTCGGAGCACCGATATCTTCCACGTGGAGACTAACCATCATGCAGCCCAACACGCCATCTATCATCCGACCCATGACAACAAGACCCGCATCCGCAGAGAGCTCCCCAGGCAAATTCAAATCGAAAATCTCATCCACAGGGTAAACCGCGCGCGAAGCCATTTCGATATTCGCGTCCACCAAGACGGCCGCCCCATCTATGTCCTAGACCTCGACGCGTGCCACGAGTACCTCCACGGTCTCCGACAGCAGATGGACGGCAGCGAGTGCAGCTTCCAGGCCTTCATCGACCGAGAAATCCTGCGCGTCGATCCCAAGACAGACGACTGGGAGCGCTGCATGACCCAGCTGACGACGTCGCGAGACGATCCACTCGCCTTACTCTGCCTCGTCAACAACATGCCCAGCCGCGCGGGCTTCTCCTACGTCTCCAAAAGGCAGTTCACGCCTATGGGCACACCCGTGGAGCAAGCCCTGAACCCTGAGAGTCCGCTCGAGGCCGAGAACCTCGTCCTCGCCGCGCAGCTTTCGAAGCTCATGTGTCGCAAGCTCGAGGTCAAGGCCTACGGGAACCTTCAGCGCCTCCTGCACGAGTCGGGGAACATGGACGACGATAAGGTCCTCCCGTTCTTACAGAGGCTCGGTCGGATTCTCCTGACGCTGCGCTGGCGGTTGTCGTGGTGGGCTGTGGTACCAGGTGACGCCGCCGCCGTGTACGACCAGGCGGACGATGATGCGAGGAAGCAGGCTGTTCACACAAGAGTACAGTCTCTGTGCCGGATTCTCTACTTTTACTACTGCTGCGTACGCAGGAGGTTGCCGGTGTGGACAAACGTCGATGCGCTGAGGGGCATTCACTCACGGTACCCGGACACCGAGGCCGAGATTTGGGATGATTTTCCGGGAAACGAGAGCCTGGAAGGGTTTGATGCGTGGATGGAGCGAGGCACGGGGCTTATTCGCGACGCTGGGGTGTTGAGTCGATTGCGCGCCATGGGGTTGACTGCGTGAGAGAGAGGGAGAGAGCGCGTGTGCGACTTTTGCTTCCTTCTCTCCTGGGCGGTATGCATTTCTTCCTTGTTCTTTTGAGACCAGTTTTCGTTCTCTGTTCTACATGGTCTTGATTACGATCTTTTCAGCGATGTAGGCGTTTGGAGGTTATCTGCTACAAATTCGGGAAATGGGGAAACAGCACACTCGTTGGAAAATGTTACTTGAAATCCAGTTTGGCGTTCTGTTTTATGACTATATGAGATACCATAGAGGAAACGGGCGTAATTGGGAGGTATAGCAAGCGTCTATCTTTTCTAGACAAATCAAACGATAGTCTTTGTTTTTTCATTTTTTTTTTAATGCCATGTCTTGGAAATGTTCTTGTGAACAGAGCAGTATGCCACCCTGATTGTGACATGATGCAGAACCGGACCGAGCAAAGCACCACTCATTCAAGGTGCTGCTGCTGGCCTGCCCAATTCTGCGAAATGTCTCGATAAGAGTGGTGTAATCGCGTTTCGCCCTCCAGATCTGGACATTTAAACTGCCTACCTTGGCTTTCAATTCCTGGAGTGTGATTTACTACATATCTTTCAGTTTCACAGCTCTTCCCGCGTATGATGCTCTAATTCAATGAATTTACTATTACTGCTGATCCGGGATGGACAAAAGGGCTCCCCGAGAGCAAAGGAACCCAGACTGTCCGGGTTTCCGTCTTCATAGAGGATACACTGATCACATTCGCACTTGCCATTCACCACCACACTACCCTTGACATTCAAAAAGGTAGAAGACTGTTGGTCACACGCAGACTTTCTCTCGCCCCTACCATGCGTACGTTAGGAAGGCAGATGGGAGCTCCTGGTAAGGTGGTTGTTGATGGGACCTTCTGCGTGATCTGGGCAGCCTAGAGCACCCCTTCCCAGTCAAATAACTGAGCATTTTGAGGTAGGTACTTTGGAAAATGTCCAGCCAAACTCGCATAAATATCAGGGAAGGGCCAAGGGAAATCACCTCATCCAACGCAGTTGAGAGTAGAGACCAATCCTTCCTTCTGTTAGAGTGTCATGTTTTTTCCGGACCTACCTCAACTCACACGGCACTGCCTGCGGTTGAGATGTAGGTTTAGACCTGAGATAGGCACGACCCGTCGGAAGGCTAAGCAAGTACCACTTCCACGTCTCTGACATTTCGTCGGGACCTCTGAGGCAACATACCCGGGGGCTTCTTCTTGTCGATGTCCAACACCAAGAAATGAAATTACTTTGGCCCAAACACATGAGATGTACGACGCGGTGTCCAAACTCGAAGCCTCTGTCTTTGAGGAAGTCAACCCTTCTCGAAATTCGTTCCTAGAGGAGAGAGAAAGTTGAGAATCCCGTCCCATCCCATCCGCAATGCTCCCCACCAGACCGCAACTGATCATCCACAGATGCCATGCCCAAAGCCGTTTAGCGTTTGGACCACCCCGGTCACAATCGAGCACCAAAGCTCCTTTAGCTTCGGCCTTGGGAGAGACAGGATGGGGACCCTGCGAAACCCTGTCCAGACGGTTTTCTCGATTCCCAGCCATCCATTTTTTGGTCTATTACATACTTTCACATGGGATACGTACCAACAATATGTGAGACCAAAAGCAATCAATTGGGATCATGTTGAAAATACGACAAGAGTCACATACAGCTCAAAAAAGGCGACACACAGGACGACAAACCAGCGGTGAATGAACAAAATCAAAAATCAAAACAACAGACAATTGATACGTTGCAATTGAGACGTTGGGACTTTGCACAGTCAGGCTCTGAAAGACTCATACAACTGGAGACCGTCCACTTCTCTTCAGCATCCAGACAACTAGAGTCACCCTCATTCGCCGAACCAAAGAAACCAACAGGTCCAACACTTGCTTCCTGTGCTCCCCTCCTGGCCAGACCTGTTCTCTACTACGTATATCCATCGGAAGCGGACACTCGCACGCAGGGCCACGCATTGAGTCGCAGAAGAGTCCAAAAGTTTGGTTGCGAATTCCCACATTCCGCCGCTCCCCGTCCACTCACAACTTTTCAGCCCCCAGTCCGCACACTAAAGCTTGCCATTTGCCGAACGAATTGCTTGCGTCGGAAATCGCTTGCATATCCAGTGAAGAAAAAAACGAACCCTGGTTCTTGCGCACGCGAGAGAGTTGCGAGAGCCTACGAATTCACCTGGCCTGGGCCCTTGAAAGACTTCTGACTGTTGACAAGCTGGCAACAACACTTGAAAGATCCGCGATCAGGTTCAAGGTGTCGAGGAGATATCCACGTTTGGGCTGAAGTTGTCCAGCAAAACGAACTCCATCCAGAGTTCAAAACCTAGGGTGTACCCTCGTCGTTCTCGTCTATCTATCCCCATTCTTCGCCTCCTGGTCTCTCTAGACTCTCGTCTACCAAAAGCACGAACCAGTGTCCCCTCCCCCCCTCCCCCTCCGACCTTCCCACCAGTTCGCGAGCTTCAACATCGCTCCCCTGGCGAGTCCATCCAATTCAATTAGACCCCATGTCATAAGGCTACGAATACAGCATAGCCAGCTCTATCCGTACGAACGCCTCATCAAGGCTCAAGACAAGACAAGACAAGACAACCCCCCAGGCATAGTAAAACTCGTCTCCGTGTGTAACGCGCCACATCCCATCCCGCAAACAGTACTCCCCGAGCCAGACAGTGTCGCATTCTCCAGCCTCGCACAAGGGTTTTTTAATTCCCTCCCCGGACTGGTTTGGCGTCTGTGGGTTTCCACCGCACCGTCTCACCACCTCCACGTCTCGATAGCTCTCCGACTCTCACTCTCACTCTCACTCTTCACTCCCACTCTCTCACTCCTTACACAAACCTCTCCCCTCCTCCACCTCTCAACCTGAGCATCCACAAGAGCTCGCCTCTCTCACCACGACAATCACAGCTTGATCCCAGCTGTGTCCCTCCTCCTTCATCCACCCACCACCACGACCTCACATCCCGGACCTAGTCTCCGTACGGATAGTCTCAGCCACCCACACCCACCCAGCAAGAAGCTCTCCCACTACAGAGAGCTCTCCCACACCACCTACAACACCTACACCGCAAGACAATCGCGAGACACGCAACACACACGCAACATCATAATGGGCTTCTTCGATTTGTCCACGGGCAGCGTCATCTCCGGCCGCTCCTCCCACTCCCGCCGGCACTCTTCCCACCACTCCAAAAAGCACAGCACCAAGCACCGCTCCCGCTCCCGCTCCTCCTCGCGCTCCCGCAGCAAGAGACACAGCGCGCCCAGCATCGCCGCCTCCATCTTTGGCGGCGACGACTACAAGAAGAACAATGCGTCGCGCGGCTCCTTTTTCGGTATTCCCAATGCCTCGCGCTCGTCATTCTTCGGCTTCGGCGGTGGTATGTCTGTCCATTGAATCCTCAACCCAGCCTCCCCCTCATCCAGCTATTCTACAATCCGGGAAACTCAATTGGCTTTCCCCAAGGCCCAATACCTTAGAACTAACACGATGTATCAAGGCCGCCCCTCGTACTACAAACGCTCCCCGCGAAACGGCTTCGTCCAAAAGACCCTCAAGCAGGTAAAACGCCTCTGGCGCGACCTAGTCTACTACGCCAAAAAGCACCCCTACAAGGTCGTCGCCCTCGTCATCATGCCCCTAATCACGGGCGGCTTCCTCACCGCCCTCCTCGCCCGCTTCGGCCTCCGCCTCCCGCCGGGCATCGAGCGCATGATTGGCATCGGCGCCAAGGCCGCCTCGGGCGACTCCATGGGCCTCGTCGGCGAGGCGGTCCGCATGGCGAGCGGCGGGTTCGGCGGTGGTGCTGCCACCCACGCGCATGTCGAGAGAGGGTACGATGGGGATTATTCGTGGGAGAGGAGGAGTGTTGAGCGGGATGGTGGTGGTGGTGGCGGCGGTGGTTGGGCTGATGGGCTTATGAATGGTGTTGCCAAGATGTTTGTCTAAACCCCGACTCACAAGGCACCGGGAGCAAAAAGAACAAACGGGCAAGAACTATGATTGGTATGGGTGGACATTCTTGTTCGGCATTCTTATGACTGAGGAGCGTTTTCTTTTCTGGTTTACGGGCTTTTTTTTTTTTTTTTTTGACTATTTATTCTGGTTCGTCCCATGCATTTTCCTGGGAACCGGCCTTTGGAAAAATTGTATGCCACGTTACGACCGTGCATGGCGCATTTACATATATACCTCTAGATATATCAAGATACGATTGATGACCTTTAAACAAACTTGTTAAGGGGAGTACGCATGGAGACTAGAAGCACAGAGATGCAGGCAATGGGAGACCAAGGAATTCATTAAGAAATACGGAGTATCGTTTCTATTATCGGTACTAGACACGGCAGACAACTTTTGACCCAGCCCTTGACAGCGAAAAGACTACTTCTTCTTGCGCCGACCACCGGTAGGCTTCCTCTTGGACGGCGACGGGTTGGCAGACTTCTTGCCCCGCGAAACCTCACGTGCCGGTTCACGGGCGGCAGCCTCCTCCGCGGCAACGACCTCCTTGCGACCTCTCCGCGTAGTCGGACCGGATGACGGCGGACGCTGCGGCGGCTCGACGATCTGAGCACCGTTTCCGATGCCGTCGCTGGTGCTTTCCTCGCTGCTCGCCTCACTGCTTTCTTCGCTGCTACTCTCCTCGGGTGGCGGCCCGCGCGGAGCCCGGCCGCCTCGACCCGTCGGAGGCGCAACGGATGTTCGGCGCCCGTCGGTGGAGCCCGATACGTTGCGTCGAGCGGCACTGGCGGGACCTTCAGTCTGGAACTGGAATGGGTCAACGCCATTTCGAGATTTTGGCAGAGACGAGGTCGAAGAAGCAGGCGACATGTTATCCGATGGCAAACGCTGGCCTGGAGGCCCCTGAACGTAGGCATAGTTGAAGGGCGACGAGCCCCTCTCGCCCATGATTCGAGACGTCGGTCGCTGCGAAGCGGAAGTTGCCGATCTAGGGCGGGTGCGCGAAGCGTTGGGCGGCGGAAAGTATCCCATGGGCGGCATCGCACCACCGTCTTGGACATTGGCGAAGGTTCCAGGCGACGGATGGCGGGGCAGATCGTCCTCCAGAGCCAACGTAGGCGACCTTCTGCGAGAGGAGGTTGGCTGGAATTGCGACAGCGGAATGGCGAACCGCTGCTCCTTTTCGCGCCGCTGCTTACGCTCCTGCTTGCGTGCTTCCTTTTCAATGCGCTTCCTCCGTCGTTCTAGGGCTGCCATCTCTTCTTTGCTAAGGTTGACCTCGAGCTTGCCCCGTTCTTGTGCACGTCGGATACGGGCCAGAGCTCTGTGCGCGAGCGCCTCATCCCGCTCTCTCGGAGAAAGCTGATCCCAATCAATCTCTTCTTCCTCTTCTTCGTCGTCTTCCGAAGAGGACTCTTCCGAGTCCTCGCTGTCGTCTTGGCTGTCGTCCTCGTCATCGTCCGAATGCTGGTAGTCGTATCCTCTACGCAATGCCGTCGTCCGGTCACCCACGTCTGTACCCGTAAAGCGGAGCGGGTCGCTTGCGAACCGCTTTCCTCGCGAAACCAAACCAACGCCTTGTGTATCTGAATTGTCCAATTCCGTCTCCTCTAGCTCCTCGACAACTCTCGTCCCGTCCTCCCAGGACCCCTGTTGCGCAGCTCCCTGTTTCCTCCGCCCGCGCCTTGATGGTCTTCCCCACTGGGGCGCAAATTTGGGAGCTCGCGGCCGACCATCTAGACCGCCTCCCCGGAAAAAGCCTCATCGATAGGCTTGTCCATAAAAGCAGCGTGGCCGAGGATGACCACGCCAGAAGCACCAACGAGCCAGAGCAGCGTCGCGAAAGGCGAGGCGTACAGGCCCAAGGGCACAGAGATGACGAGAAGACCGGTCCACAGTTGGGATGTGGTGGCCTTGAAAGAGCCGATCTCGAGATCACGACCGTCGAGCTTGCCAATCAGGAACATGCCCGCAATGACAAAGATGATGTCGAAAAGCAACAGCCAGTTGGTCAGCAGAGCGTAGATGCTGAGCATCAAGAAGACGACGCTGTAGTTGCTGGAGAAGTAGGAGAGGTTGTAGTTCCATCGCGACTGGACCTCGCCAAAGTTGGCGGGCTTGGAGAGGCGCTTCATGTCGAAGAACTCGCCGACAGGACGCAGGTTGGCGAAGCGGCCGCTCAAACCGCCGGAACGCATGCTGTTGAAGCGCTCCTGCAGGCCGAGACGGTTCGTCAGGGCGTCGATGGGGATCTGGATGCGAGCCATGGTGTCGGTGTTGGATGTGGAAAATGCGATTGATGCGCGTCGGTAAGGTGGAAGGCGTCGGTAGAGGAGGGTAGATGAAGATGCAGAATGTCAGGGGGAGACTTTTGTACGGTGTGTTGATCGTCACACAGGAAAAGACCGTGTTCTATATGAGCGGGTGCAGGTTAGCGGGATGCATGCACAGGGTGGATGGTATTGGTATTGTAGGAAGAATGGTGGATTTGAAACATTTTGGGAGGTTCAGGCCATGTGTCTTTTCAGCTCCATTCCTCGTGGAATTAGCTTTCCTGACGCGCGGAACGGAACACGTACGCACCTTGGGGCGATGAGAGGTACCTAAGGGGCGGTAAAGGCTAATGAAAGCTGCCTTGGGGGATGGGCAAGCGTGATGCTGCAGGCAGAATTTGGGTACCCAATGCGGTAGAAAGTTGGTGCTGACTAGGCAGAGGCTGAGCAAAGTCGATGAAGGCGTTTGGTGATGATGGTATTGTTGACGTTTGTCTCGTCGTGGTCGCGGTGGCTCGGTACTGAGGGACCGAAGGCGATCTTTTTTTTCTCCCGTCAGCTTTTCTTTTTCCGTACTCGGTACCCAGGCAGGGAAAATCTCGGTAGGGGTGCTGAGCAAGGCAGTGTGGGCTGGATCCGTAATCTCGTCAATTCAGTTCAGGGGTGGGGATTGGTGATTGGCACTAGAAACCGTAAAACGGCACGGTTTCCCACACGTTTGGTTGGCGTGGGAGAGGAGAAAGGGGGCCCCTGTCCGGTCGTCCGTGTTCCCCGTCTTGGATCTTGAATTTTCGGGTTCGTCTCGTGGGAGTTGGGTAATGAGAAGGGATGAATGGATATATTGTTGTACATAGAGGCTGAGGCTGAGGGAGATGCATGCTCGAGCAAACGCTTGAGGAATTCGCTACCTTGGGCCGAATGCCAGACGAACCATGATGCGGGAAGGGAAGGTACCGGTAGGTATGTGAATCATGTGATCAAGGCAGGGGAACGAAAGGGAAGGAAAGGCCAAAGGGCAGCTGTAAGAGATGGAAGGAGGCCTAACTCCCCGAAAGCTGGAAGAGGAAGGCGACGAGGGAAACATGGGATGAAAATGAGAAAGAACGTAGCTTACCTCTTGCCAACTTTGTTGTGAATTGACCAATTCCTTCCCTCGAAACTCCCAGTGTTTTCACAAGGAAACAACCCTTTCTCTGCTTCTTTCTCTTTCTTCCTGTTTGTCTTTCTTTCCTATCGTGACAATTCCCGTCGTTCGGTCGCGCGGGGGGCGAGCTGCGGGGCTCGCCCTCTCGTTGGTCGTTGGTTGACCTCTGTATTCCTTCCACGCTCGGAAAGAAACAAAATACACTCAAAGGCTGTAGTGATGCATCTCCCGCTGGTCCTCCATCCGACTTTGTCAGTCAGAAGAAGAGGAAACACAACAGGTAAATGACAAGACGATAGGGAAGAGAAAGGGAAGAATCCGACAAAGATCCGACCACCGAAGGGGATATGGGCAAGCTTAATGAAGGAAGCGGAGAGAGAGAGACAGCCAACTCAGCTACCAAAGAGCTCTGACCGCCCCTCCATTAACCAAGGAAGACTTTTCTTTCTCGTCATGGTGTATCTGACTTTGGGCTGCAACTAACACTACTCCGTACACCGCACTCCGTACCCAAACCACCGCCTTGCTTTATGACACAACCGCCCGCTACTACTACCCATTACTTCCCTGGTTTCTATTTCCCGTCGTTGATCCCCCCGCGAGTACGGACGCATCCGGACGGGGGAGCAAGACAGACGAGAAAGCTTGAGAACCACATCCGAGGATAGCTCAGAGCCCATAGGTAGCTTCAAGCTGGGGCGACACACAATCCTCAATTGGGCTCCATGGGATAGGACAGCGCGGCAGCTGGATCATGGAGGGGGATCCCTCTTGCATGCCTCTGGCAAGTCAGAGCCGGCCAAGTCGCATTCAAGGCTGTCAAGCCGGAGTGTGTTTCCACACCGCATGGTCGTCTGTCTCCAGACTCCGGTTTCTAGCAGCATCTTGTCTCTCTCCCAAGCACCCACGCATCTAGGTATGGACCCGTCTCTCTGAGACCGAGACGGGAGTTTCTACTGAAAAGAATCTGGAGGCGGTGGGAGAAAGCAAAGGCTGGAAGCTCTGTTAGACTCCCCCTCCAAAACTAAAAGACAACCACCACTCAGTCGACGATCGCCCCAAGGACCAATGACGGACTAGCGGTACCTAACGATGGCGACCCAAGCGGCAGACCCCCAAGGAAACCCCCAGATGGCAAGAATGGCACTAATGTGAAGAAGAAGCAGCCATCGCCCGCTAAATCGTGACGTGAGGCCAATGAGCTGGAATGAAAGAAGGGATGACGGCCGAGCCAAAGCAGACTTTTTTTTTTCTCTTTCTTGCTCGTGGCTCTCTCTCTTCACCTTTCCTTACCTTCCATCAATTCCAGCCCGACCGCGCCACGCCCTTCGATGCCTGCGGCTTTTGTTGGTGTCTCAAGGCAAGCTCAGATATTGCCAGGCCCACGGTTCGCTCGCCAATGCGCCATCACCCTCACGTCCATCCATACCTACCTTGCGACGATCAACCTCCCGAGGCAGTTAGGAACATATTCCTGCGTAGGGTAGCGTGGGAAGCCGATAGATAGGCAAATGGCGTGCGCCAACGCAGTAATGCATTCATGCGGCAGCTCGAGGAAGAAGATCCGG